ATATTGACTGATGTCATCATCTAGTTCTTTAGTTAGTTTTTTGTTTTCGTTTGGTACGATTTTTATTAGTCGGTGATTTTCGCACATACGTATCTTGTGTGAAAAAATACGTGATCCAATATTGTACAATTATCGAATCATTATTATTTATGGCCTTGCGCGTGCACTTTTACGCGGATATATGTTTCTTCCTTATGTTCCTCTCTCTCTGGGGAGGTTCCATCTCGTTACCTAGTTCTTTAGTTAGTTTTTTTTATTAAAATGATGTGACAAACGAATTCCACGTGGTTGTTAGTAGTTACTGCAGTTCACAGACAACCTGCAATTAACTTCAAACAACGACCGCTTTTTATAAAAAAGCGTTGTCAATAAGTGTTTTTTTTATTTTCATCATTTACTGCACCGTTTATTTTGGGCTTCTCAATTATAAGTAATGCAGTGTAATGCAGTGCAATTTTCTATTTTGAAAGACATATTGTTATTATGTAGGCGTAACTATAATGTTCAATTATTAAAAATATCATATTTTTTGTAGTGAAAAGAGGCAGAAAATGCCATATACTTGAAACAATTTGTATCTCATACCAATACTTGATCCGTGCAAAAATCCAACCATCAGCGGTCCGTAGCGCCGTAACTCAGAAGCGTAGCAAAAGGGGGAGGGAGGAGTAGTTGGGTTATGGCACCTGGCGACAGATTTAAAGAGGCGGCATTTCGGAAACATATTCGGCTTGAAATAAAAATATTAAATGTCCGAAAATACTCACATATTTTTGTTCCGAGAGATAAATCGGTACATACATTTTTTTTTATAGGATAGGATGACGAACGAGCGCACAGTCCACCTGGTAAGTGGTTTTTGTGGCCCATAGACATCTACATACAGTATATCGCACTCGTATGGGGAATAAAAAGATACTTCTACGTAGAGCCACGTTGCGGATATATTATGGTTGTAGTACGAAAGTGTCGGCTCGACCGGGGTAGGATCACGGTCTCACAGAATACCAGCGTGATATATCAACTTAATGTTGCTGTGTTTCGTATGTTGAGTGTGAAAAACTGGATACCCATTTAACTTAAACATGATGCCGTGTAGTGGCGGTTAAGAATATCCACTACCCCATATCCTCCCGTGGGTGTCGTAAAAGGCGACAGAGGGAAACAGGCAGGAGATGGGCAGCAGCATCTTACTGATAACAGCAACTGTACGACAAAAAAAAACTGCGGTTGCCAACCCGCTCGCCAAGCGTGGCAACTATGGCAATATACCCCCCATGAACAATTACACAAATAGACGGCCCCCAGTCCCCGGCGGCCCCGCTATTCCTGGCTACGGTGGCGACCATGGTAACGGCGGGGCAGGGAGTGTTAAGAATCTCCGGTGGAAGTTCGGTTGCCACCTACGACGACTCGATCTGGCAACATTTAACGCACGCACCCTGAGGCCTGACGAGAAGATCCTGGAGCTGGAAGAAGAGATAGACAAGTTGCGCTGGAATATTATAGGATTATCCGAGGTCCGAAGAGAGGGGGAGGACACGGTGATTCTCGAATCCGGCAACTTGTTCTATCACCGGGAGGGCGACCATCTGTCCCAAGGAGGTGTAGGATTTATCGTCCACAAGTCTCTCGTCAACAACGTTGTAAAGATTGGGAGTGTGTCGACGAGGGTCGCGTACCTGATACTCAGAATCACCAAACGGTATTCGCTGAAGGTCATACAGGTTTACGCACCAACCTCGGCACATCCCGATGAGGAGGTGGAGGAAATGTATGAGGATATTTCCAAAGCCATGCATTCCTCCAAAACCCACTACACGGTGTTGATGGGAGACTTCAACGCAAAACTAGGCACAAGAGAAAACGGTGAGCTGAAGTTAGGGAAATTTGGAGTAGGGCAACGGAACCGAAGGGGCCAGCAGCTGGCCGACTTTATGGAGAAAGAGGGACTCTTTATGATGAACTCTTTCTTCCAGAAGCGGCCCCACAGGAAGTGGACCTGGTCGAGCCCCGACGGTTCGACAAAAAATGAGATTGACTTCACTATGACGACCAGACGCCAACTGTTCAGTGATGTCTCAGTGATCGCAAGGGTGAAAAATGGCAGCGATCACCGAATGGTTAGAGGCACACTGAACCTAAACGTTAAGTTGGAGAGGTCTCGTCTAATGAAGTCAACGCTCCGTCCCCCTCGTGCTCTAATCCAGAATCCCGAAAACTTTCAGCTCGAGTTATGTAACCGGTTTCAGTGCTTACAGGATTGCAATGCAGTGGACAATATGTATGACAAGCTCGTGGAAACTGTCCATGCGGTCGGAGCTAAGTTCTGCAAGAACCGCCGCAGAAGAACACAAAAACTCTCCGATCACACTCTTAATCTCATGGCTATTAGACGGAAGATGAGGCTGCAATCGTCAACAGATTTGACAGCATACAGGCAACTGAACAGACAGATCTCCAAATGCATGCGACGAGACTTACGCAACTTTAATACTGCTCGTAATAAAGAAGCGATTGAGCGGAACGAGGGATCCAAAGTCTTTGCCAGAGATCTGTCTGCCAGTAAGAGCCAACTGTCAAAGCTGAAGACTGAGTGTGGCGGGATCGTTTCCGCGACACCTGAGATTTTGAGTGAGATTGAGGGGTTCTATGGGCAGCTGTACACATTTTCGTTGGAGCCACACGTAAGTGTGAGTAACGATCTAAGAGTAAGTCTTATCCGACACTATTCCGATGGTACCCCGGACGTCAATCTAAGCGAGATTAGAATGGCTCTCCAGCACCTTAAAAACAGCAGGGCCCAAGGCGAGGATGGAATTACAGCGGAGCTTCTGAAAGCGGGTGGAACATCGGTAGTTGAAGTCCTTCAGAAGCTCTTCAATTCCGTCCTCCATGGTGGCACTACTCCAGAGGCGTGGAGCAGAAGTGCGGTGGTCTTGTTCTTTAAGAAATGCGACAACGCTCTCTTAAAGAACTACAGACCGATTTCCCTTCTGAGCCGCGTCTACGTGCTGTTTTCGAGAGTCATTACGAATGGTCTCGCACGCAAACTCGACGACTTCCAGCCTCCCGAACAAGCCGGTTTCCGAAAAGGCTTCAGTACCATAGACCACATACATACCCTGCGGCAGATTGTATAGAAGACTGAAGAGTACAATCTGCCACTTTGCCTGGCGTATGTGGATTATGAGAAAGCCTTTGATTCCGTCGAAATTTGGGCGGTGCTACAGTCCCTTCAGCGGTGCCAAGTTGACTGTCAGTATATCGAAGTGCTGAAGTGTTTGTACAGTAGGGCTACGATGGCTATCCGAGTACAGAACCAAAGCTCGAAACTTATCCAACTGCAGAGAGGTGTAAGACAGGGTGACGTTATATCCCCGAAACTCTTCACCGCTGCGTTGGAAGACGTTTTCAAGCTACTGGACTGGAAAGGATACGGTATTAACATCAATGGCGAGTACATCACTCACCTTCGATTTGCCGACGATATAGTCCTTATGGCAGAATCGCTGGAGGACTTAAGCAATATACTCAATTACCTCAATAGTGCCTCCCAACGGATAGGTCTTAAGATGAACATGGACAAAACAAAGATCATGTTTAATGTCCATGTCACACCTATGCCGGTAGTTGTTGGGAGCACTATGCTCGAAGTTGTTGACGACTACGTTTACCTGGGACAAATAGTCCGACTAGGTAAGTCCAACTTCGACCAAGAGGTCAATCGACGGATTCAACTCGGCTGGGCAGCGTTCGGGAAATTACGACATATCTTCTCGTCAGGTATACCTCAATCTCTAAAAACTAGATTATACAACCATTGCGTGTTGCTAGTGATGACTTACGGATCTGAGAAGTGGTCCTTCACTGCTGGCCGTATGAGGACGCTCGAGGTCGCTCAGCCAGCTATGGAGAGGGCTATGCTCGGAGTTTCTCTGCGTGATAGACTCAGAAATGAGGATATCCGCAGTAAAACCAGAGTGACCGACATAGCCCAACGGATTAGTAAGCTGAAGTGGCAATGGGCCGGCCATATAGCTCGAAGAACCGATAACCGATGGGGAAGAAAGGTTCTTGAGTGGCAGCCTCGTACCGGTAGGCGTAGTGTAGGGCTACCCCCCACTAGATGGAGTGACGACCTGGTAAGATATGCAGGAAGTCGATGGATGCAGGTGGCTCAGGACCTTGCTTTGTGGCATTACTTGGGGGAGGCCTATGTTCAGCAGTGGACTTGTGAAGGGCTGTAATGATGATGACGATGATGATGATGCCACGTTCATGACATCTTATTCATGTGTGCTAACGCATCTTTGCATTTTGATCCTTAATCAAGGCTGAACGTAGATGTAACGGAAACTCCTTAGAATGAGAAAGTTCGTAAATAGACTGACATGATAGAAAATCACAAAAAATAATCAAAGACTATTTCAGTTATATCATACTTATGACACATACAATTTTGCTTTTTCTTCTTTATTAGCCCCGGCCGCCAAAGTACTCCCCTCTATTCTCTCTTTGTATAAATTAAATATTAATAGAACGCAGAACGGCCTCTCTCTTAGTATACACATTTAAATGTTTATAGTTTACATGCTTATTCAGTTTTAATAATAATAATAATGTCCTGTAGCCAAATTTTGGTCACGGCGGGCTGCCTTAACGGAGACTAGCCATCGGCGCAGGATAGTATTATAGTGTCCAAGTGTGCACTCTCTATTCCCTCACTCTCATAATCCGATGGGACGGCAAACCGACCAAACTGGAGAGAGATCAGGCGCAGGACCAACGGCTTTACGTGCTTTCCGAGGCACGGCAGTGAGACACCGCCAACTTCCTGACTCCGGGCAACTACTGAGAATATCTTGACGTAAAACTCAATAATTGATTTTTTGACCCGACTTGGGATTCGATCCCAGGACCTCTTAATCAGCAGTCGCACTACTACAACTACTATACCAACGAGCTAGTCATCATCAGCTTTAATAATCGGCAATAGAATGAAAAAATACGATTTAGCTAGAGAAATGGGCTATGTAAACATTCGTCAGTTCAATGGTGATTTGTGTAGACCCGTTCGCAACGTTTTTTAAAATTAGCAATCGATTGGGTGTGACGTGACAATTTGAATCTATTTCTGGCAATAATATCGCCTAAAAAGTCGCATCGTCTAAAGATTCGCGTGCGGGGTTGTATGGAATGCAAAAACTCCCAATCGCCTCGATAAATACTGTAATCCCTATATATACGCAGTCGGCGACCGCATCTCTAATAGGTATGTTTTATACGATGTACTCACTGCTATATAAAACCTGAGTGAGAGCCAAAATCTAAATTTAAAGACCGAACGGAGCCGAAACTCTCCGAATCCGCCCGCCCGCCTCAGTCCATCGCCAACTGCCGCACCGACATTCCCGAAAACATCGCAACCGAACGCGCGGTACCTAAACATTCACTTGGCAAGCCAAACCAGTCGTCCGAAAATCAGAAAAAAGGAAAAATACCAAATTTGAAATTTGGAAACGCGTTCGTGATAAGTCTAGTGAAACTTAATTTTTTTTTCTCGTGCCAAAGTGTCAGTGTGTGGTGGATTTTCGAGTTTTATTCCGTGATACCGGTAAATATAAATATTTTTTCGATTTTCTGTATTTTTAATCTGTGCTTGTAGTTAGAGATTAAAAGCTTAGCTGTTAACAATATGATTGATTGACACGTGCTGGAGTCACGAGTGTTAAATTTCAACATGTCTGCCTGCTGTTCCAGAATTATGCAGTGTACATAATTTAGGACGCTTAAATTTAACACTTACGCAATATTTTTGTTTGTTATAAAGATACCGGTGCATTTCCTAACCTCAAAAACTTTTAACACAGCAATTTCAAATAGCAATCTTATTGCTGTACTTATTGTAATATTTGTGATACAATTTCACTATAGTTATATTATTTATTAATATTCAATTTATTCTATACGATTTTATTGATATTCTATGAAATCAGATTTGATTGAAATTTGGCGCAAAATACACGCACTTAAACAGGCTTAAATGTTATTTTTTGGTTGTGTATATTAAATTCGATTATGATTTACAATTAGGTACGTGATACAGGCAAACGTAGAACACGTTGTAGTCGAATCGTTTGAACTCCGCATTGCGTCTAGGAGTTTAGAAGGTATTCGCTTAAAGCATGTCGTAAACTTAAGGAAAGTAGAGCTTGTAGTATAATTATTACATCTATTGCTTTGGTTCAGGCGATCGAATAATAAGCAACTTACCATATATCTTATAATAAATGCGTTGAAACTAATAAGAATTACACAATCGACGCAACGCAACGCAAATATTACTTTGATACTGTTTGGTTTTGCGATGATCATATCCGGAGGAGAACAATATCCTTACATAATATTAACTTAAATAAAATTGGAGTTTAAAAGAACTAAAACAACACACAATTTGATCATAAGTTGTGAATCATAATTATGAAATTATTGTTATGTCCTCGATCCGCGAAATTTCAATTATTCAGACGTCAGGAAGAGCGTGAAAACTGAATTAAATAATTACCTTACATTCATACATACAACAGGTCAAGTTAACGAAAACATTTTAAAAAGGCAAAGGAAATACAGTACATATACAAATAAACATATATTAACTATAAATTAAATATCTGTATGATTTTTAACTTATCGTTAAAATATGACCGAGTCATTAAATGAACTAACATTTTAGGTCTAAGTCTATTTTTTTAAGTTATAATCCGTCTACATGTTAAACAATGTAAAATGTAATATTTTTCCTATAAACTTCAAAACACATGGCAAACCATAATGTATACATAAATTTTTTTCTGAAATAGCTAGTGACGTGCGCGTTTGAAGGTCTATATACGATTTTAACCGGAACTGAAGTTCACAAGTTTCGGTTGGACGTTGGCCGAAAGCCAAATTAAAAAACAAACGCATTTAGGAACGGCTAATGTAACGAATGTAGAAGTCGCCCCCATAATGTCGTGCGGGATATCTCTGTCAAAAAATAGTTTTGATGCTAGATATTCCTGTGCTAAATGTATGTTTTAACATTATATATTATATCATTATTATATACTTATACTATCATACTTCAATATTGATATTGTGTAATATATTAGTTATGCATAAGGGGAAAATGAGTTATGATGAACAAAATACACCACTTTACACAGCATAGATGGGTACAGACCTTACCTCTCATTTCTAAATGGTTTCATCATCATCATCGTCATCATTATAGTCATTCACAAGTCCAGAGCTGAGCCTACCCCAAGGAATACTATAAAACACGATCCTAAGCCACCTGCATCCATCGACTTTCTGCATCTCTTACCAGGTTGTCACTCCATCTTGTTGGGGCCGCCCTACACTTTTAAAATGTTTACGGGCGTGAAGGCGAACATAACAAGTCTTCGAAATATTTGATTCATCAGGTACTCAGGTTTCCTAACAACCAAAGTTATCTTTATCGCTGAGCACGTGGTATATCAGAACTTGAAATCGCAATTAAAAATTTCTTTGGTACTGGCGCGGACCAAACCCTGGCTGTTCGCACACTGTGAATTTTGCGGCGAGTGTTACCCCTGAGCTACTACGGCGTAAGCACCTAATGCACTTTTGTAAAATTTTTATTAATTTTTTCTTATAAAAACGAGTGTCATTCAAAATTGGTCGAAATTTTGATCAAGAAATGTACAAACAAAATTCTAGAAGCTACTCTACTATGACGTGGTTAGAATAGACGGAGAGAACTGAGTTCGGGAAGTCTGCAGTCTGTAAAGATGTACAGAATCGCCCCCGCAATTATATTGTCACGCTCTCGCAGAATACCAGCGTAAAATAGCACCTTAATGCTGCTTTGTTTCGTATGGTGAGTGTAGAGAACCGGAGACCCTTTTAACTGGATACGAGGCATTCTATCTTAGTCCTCAGGTGTAACAACGTATCTGCATATTGATTCTTAATCGAGAATAAATGTAGATGTCTATAAGCCACAGTATACACTTACCATCATGTGAACTGTGTGCTCGTAGATCACCCTTATTCCATAAAAAAATCAGATTTGATAGACCACAATCGTTCGCAAAAGAACACCGATTCCTACCAATGATTCGCGAGACTATAATTCTCTTGTATGATAAAAAGGAAATTTTAGAACTTCTTAAAATCAAAAGTATTTTGATCATATTTCATTAGTGATTTTTAAGATAACCCAAAATTTAAAGCTCTATATCAAAACAAATGTTCCTTCGTTTGTATGCGTTTGTATATCATTCACTCGATGAATGCGGTGTAAGAATATCCACTATCCCATATCATCATGTAGGTGTCATAAGATGCGACAGAGGGAAACTGGAACAGAAGACGGGCAGCAGGGTTTCCTGATGACAATTTGAAATAACACTCAACAATTTTCATTTTGTCAAATTGAATGAGGAACAAAGAAGCTGCAGTTAATAACGATTTAGGCTAAGAACTCATTGAGTTATATTTACCCGCACCCGCAACAGCAAAGGAATTGCTATTTAATTTAAAAACTCACAAGACTGCAGTTTTGTGTGGTGGTTGTGTCTGCATACTGCTGTTGTGAACCCGCCAGACAAGTGTGGCAACTTTGGTAAAATCACCTCTACAAGGCAATCTGTGAGGAGACTTATGTTCAGCAGTGGACTTTTACAGGCCGTAATGGATCCATGATCTGATGAAGTACATAAAGCATAACACATATAAAGCACAACATAAATAACATACATATCATGTATGTTATTTCCTTGAAGATGATGGTCCGTAAAAGAAACTTTGAGTGACAACATAATTGAAGTTTCATTATGTTTTGACATACAATTATTACACAAACTTCATGTCGTAGTAAAATGAGATCTCTAAAAATAAAATATTATAAAACGCCCTTGGTCAAATTGCAAGAAGTTGGTGATCGGCAACTGAATGTTGTTCCATGACTGCCAGGTCTGACTAGTGAAAAACTGGAGATAGAGAAACAGGTTTCTAGCAGAATGTTTCATGTTGTAACAAAATCTTACATCGAGAGTTCTTAATTAAGTTTAATAGAAAAAGTACTAATTTAAATATAAATGCATTCATATCAAATATACATTACATACTTAATAGTACGTTGTGCTTGGCGTGAAGGAAAACATCGTGAGGATACCTCCATGTCTGAGAAATAAGAAAAGAAATTAAGAAAGTTCACCAACACGCACGAGGGCAGCGCGGTGGACATTTCCTTACCCTAAAACCCTCTCAGAAATGAGAGGAGGCATGGATCCACCAACGGGACGTATGTAGGCCTTAACTTTAAGTACAAAGTAGATAGGGTAGAAAGAGGAAGGTATAGAACAACGACATATATTATTGGCGCCCGACTACAATATTTCATATTATCTTACAGGAAGGATTAAATCATCGATCGAATCATAAAAACGAACGAAGTTCTTACAGTTTAACTCTTTATGCATATGACATTTCACGTGGTCTTTGTACAAAATGATACAGGTGCATATTATAATTCATAGAATATAATTGTCTCGTCCTCTTTCTCACTTATCACATTCTATTTTACAAGTTTGACGACTTTGTTTTGTATTTATATATTAAGTTTAATGCGTTTAATCTTCATAAAAATTAAGGCAATAGCGAACATTCAAAAGAAGCATAAACACGGTTTTCTGGTTGACAATGTTGGGAAAATCATCACAGACCCAACTACAGTTAAAAAGACTTGGGAAAATTATATATCTGATATATTTCAGAACAATAATCTTAGTTGTCAGCAGAGTTTGAAACTATAACTGTATCGGAAATCATAAGATCAGAGGTTGTTTTTGCTCTTAATAAAGCAAAGCCACCGGACCAGATAAGGTCAACGTTGAACTTCTTAAACTTTTAGAACATGAACAAGTTGATGTACTTTTAAATTTCTTTAACTCTATCTATAATTCTAGTATCGTTCCTCAAGACTGGGTCAAATCTACTTTCACACCTCTTCCGAAAAAACGTTTTCCCGAGAAATATGCACGGCTGGTGTATAAAACATAACCAGTGCTGTCTTAACCCAGGATAGATGTAGATGTCTACAGGCCACAGCATCCACTTACCATCAGGTGGGTTGTGTGTTTGCTTGTCACCTTTATTCTATAAAAAATTTAAAATCGGTTCACAATTGACGAAGATATCGCGTAACATACATACATAAAACACAGTGGAATTTAGAATCTATTCCTTTTTTTAAGTTTTTCTTTTGTAAGTTTTGGTAAAAATCGATAGTGTTATTGACAAATGAGGCACTATTTCTTCATGATGTCATATTATATTATTAAATATAGTGTTAGTAATATTCTTGAGAGAGTAGTCTCTAAAAGTGTAAAGTGTTAAAAAGACATAATAAAAAGTAAAAACCGAATTCGAAAAACAAAAATAATATAATAATTACCGCATATTAGCTTCAGAAGTTGGTGATAAGATATTGTGTAGAGAAGTATAAAAGCCCTGACTTCTGAAGCTCTTATGCGAAAAATTATTTTATTCTTGATAGAATCAGGCGTTACTTTGCGGAAATCCATT